CACAGTGTCTTTTGGGGATGATGGGATATTCTGTAACTCAATTGTGCTGATGGTTACATGACTCTCTTGTCAAAACTCAGATCTATACACCAAAATGTGAATTCTATATGTAAATTAAAAAAAAATTTAGGGGACTCCTGGGTGGCTCAGTCATTAAGCGTCTGCCTTCGCTCAGGTCATGATCCCAGGGTCCTGGGATCGAGCCCCGCATCAGGCTCCCTGCTCCGCGGGAAGCCTGCTTCTCCCTCTCCGACTCCCCCTGCTTGTGTTCCTTCTCTCGCTGTGTCTCTCTGTCAAATAAATAAATAAAATCTTTAAAAAATAAAATAAAATAAATTTAGGGGAAAATATAGGCTGGATAGATACACATCCGACCCGTGATAGTTGTTGCTCCTGGGGATGAAGAAGGGAAATGGGATCAGAGTAGAAGTTAAAGGGGATTTTAGACTCACCATGTATTTTCTTAAAAATATATATATATGACAGCACACTATTACATTTACATGGTGAAATTATCAATGTTTGCTTTATTATACTTCTTTGTATTTTTTAATTGGTCAAAATATAAACAAGGCAAAATATATCCTCCTAAAGGAAAATTTAGAGAAGAGATGGAAGTATAAGGGGAAAGAAATCACCAGTTGTATTAAAACATTGGGTGCATTTTCTTCTATTCTTCTCTCCATGTTTCTTTTTGCGTAGTGGAAAGTGTAGCATAAGAACAATATAGTCTGTAGTTTTACTTTTACTTGGTATATCCTAACCATTTTTTCCTTCTTCTTTAAATGATCTTTGTAAATATTATTTGCAATGATGTAATACCTATCTTAAGGCCTGCATTTAAACAGCTGCTGTCACTTTATGAATGTAGGCATTTCTATAATACTAAACCGGTATGTTTCACTTCACGAAACTGGAAGCACATATGCAAGTATGTTTGCATGAATCCTGTAAATTATGATGTCTCTGAGTCATTGCAATTTAACAGGAAGTCCTGTCTTTCCTTGGGGTTTTCCTCCACAAACGTTTCCATGTTGTTGTTGTTCAATACAGCTGGACGTCCACATCCCTGCTGGTCACTATCCCGCTGGAAGCCATCAGGATACACCATCTCTTTGTACAACGTACTTTCAAGGAGAGCCCATGGCAAAATCACCGAGGTTCTGGTGTTCCTTTGTAGGTTTGTCTGACTCCTCAGATTAACTCATGCCATCATATTCGCCAAGGCGGGAAATGATGAACCTCTCTAACCCAGCACTCTCCTCTGACCACCCTTTTCACACCCTTACATGTGCTTCAGTTTCTTTAATTTCAAAATGGAGATAATGACACAGCTTTAATGCATGTGGAATCCTTAGTATAGTGCCTGGTACTTAATAGATTTGATAGATCATTTTTCTTTCTTCCTGAAGTTCATCTTTGACTAAAAAGGAACCCTCTGAACCCTGCTATTTCTGCGCTGCTTCTGCCCTTAGAGTCTATTCCACATGACTGAATGTTTTAATTAGAATTGTGGACCACCTTCTTTGATCATCAGATCTCCAGCCTTTCACAGCACCATGTGTAACTTTTTTTGTGTGCAAGATTATTGTGTGACCCTCACTGAAGTGCTGTGAAGGCGAGACCATGACTTCTCTGCAATATTCTCAATGCTTAGTACAGTACCTGGCACATAGTAATCCCTCAATAAATATTTGTGGAATGAATGAATGTTTATACTTTGTAGTTTTAATCTCCCAGAAATAAACCTCTCATTTCCCATATTTTCACCTTAGTGCTCTTCACACAGTAGGTCTGATGATTTTTCCCTTTTCACCAGGCATCCTTGGCTTTTAAGAATTGACTTACATCAAGGACATCTGACTGTCTCAGTTGGGAGAGCATGCAACTCTTGATCTCAGGGTCATGAATTCAAGCCCCACGTTGGATGTAGAGATTACTTAAAAATAAGTAAATAAGAGCACCTGGGTGGCTCAGTTGGTTAAGTGTCTGCCTTTGACTCAGGTCATGATCCCCGGACCCTGAGATCAAGCCCCGCATTGGGCTTCCTGCTCAGTGGGGAGGCTGTTTCTCCCTCTGCTGCTCCCCCTGCTGCTCCCCCTGCTCATGCTCTTCTGCTCTCTCAAATAAATCTTTTTAAAAAATTGTATTTAAAAAAATAAAATGTAAAATATAACTTTATCATCCTCAATAAGGACAAAATGTTAGTACTTCAGAACTATTACTCTCTAAGTTGAAGAAGTGACACCTTGGGGACAAAACAAATGGTTGTTTAGCCTCACACTACGTACTGCAATGACCTGTGAGCAAAGATGTGTATGACTTAAGAGTAAAATTCCAGTTTCTGGAGCCCGACCAGATAAGGCCTTTCAGAAGGGGGATGTAGCTGCTTCTTTTGGCTCGACCCAAAGATAGCTAGAGGAAGTGCTAGAGTGGATTAAATTCCTTAGGCAAAGCTTCCAGAAAATACAGCATAAAATTAAACCTTCAGAGGACACCTGGGTGGCTTTTAAGTGACTGCCTTCGGCTCAGGTCATGATACCGGAGTCCTGGGATCAGGTCCCGCATCGGGCTCCCGGCTTAGCAGGGAGCCTGCTTCTCCCTCTGACCCTCTCCCCTCTCATGCTGTTTCTCACTCTCTCTCTCAAATAAATAAATAATCTTAAAAAAAATTAAACCTTCGGAGAAAGGAAGCTGTTGGAAGCGAAACTAGACAACATAGATATGAATGCAGTGTTTGCCAGACACAGCAAGGACAACCTATGAAGCCTTCTTCACAAAAGGGTGGAAACGTGTAAGACTAACAGAGCTGTGTAATTGCTTAGAGGGTCTCAGGTGAGGACAGTGAAGGGGCACTGGACTAGGAATGAGAATAAATTTTAGATCTCACTCTACCACATTCAGAATAGAAGAATGGTTAGAACCGCCTGAGTCACGTAGGTCTAAATTCAAATCCCAGTACCTTCCCTTACTTCCTAGGACTTTGGACAAGTTTTAGCCTCTCTAAACTAGTTCCTCACCTATTACAGGGAGATAAGAATGCCTACTCCTTAGAGTCTGAGGATTAAATGAACTAAAATACATAAAGCAATCAGCACATCTAGCACATGGTAACACTCAAAGTATAGACAACACCAGCTACGTACCCTTGTGCAAACCAGGGCCTCATTCTATAAAGGGAGTTATAACAGAGAAAAGCACTCTGACACCTTAAAGTGCCAGGTGTGATGAAGGGAGGCTGGATTCACTTGCTGCCCACATCCAATGTTACCAGTTGTTTCCTTTACAACCAGCAGGTTACCATCCACAACATGGTATTACTTAGGAGACTTTTTGAGAAATGTTACTTTGATATCACTAAATTAACAGATTGACATCTATGCAACCACAAAGAATTTATTGAACATTTTCATTCATGTGATTTCATTAAAGGAAGGCTTTTTCCTGCTTATATTAGTTACCATCACTTTTGCCCCTATCACAATCTCATGGTACAGTCCTTGCATGTAGCAGGAACTCAATAAATGTCTGCTAAATTGACTGTGGAGCACCAGACGACCTAAAACTTGAACTTTATAAGTACTTACTTCATTTTTTTTCTTTTAAGATTTTATTTATTTATTCATGAAAGACAGAGAGAGAGAGAGGCAGAGGGAGAAGCAGGCTCCCAAAGAGCAGGGAGCCCGACACGGGACTCGATCCCAGGACCCTGGGATCATGACCTGAGCCACCTTACTTCATCCTGGAAAGGACTGAGCTATTATGAATAATGAATTCAAGTGACTGTTAGAAGCACTCTACCGACAAGCTGGATAATGTCAAAAGCACTTCCCAAAGGAAAGGATGTCAGGCTTGTCTCCACTGTAAAACCCCATTTTTAAATGAAGGTACTATTTAAAATGGTCTTCCAAAGGACTAAGCAGAGATTCTAAAAAGATCTGACAGGGGCACCTGGGTGGTTCAGTCATTAAGCGTCTGCCTTCGGCTCAGGTCATGATCCCAGGGTCCTGGGATCGAGCCCATCAGGCTCCCTGTCCCGCGGGAAGCCTGCTTCTCCCTCTCCCACTACCCCTGCTTGTGTTCCCTCTCTTGCTGTGTCTCTGTCAAATAAATAAAATCTTTAAAAAGTAAAAATATCTGACAATGTGAAGCAGCTTGGGCTCTAAAGTCAGTTGAATTGGTGTTTACTGACCACCTGCCTTCTGCAAGGCACCCAGCTGGGCAGTATAGGAAAAGATGCTCATGTATACTAATTATACCATGTAGTCCTAGGTACTACATCAGAGAACAGCTCATAACAAGATCCAATCCAGAGCTGAAGTGTAGTGTCAGTATGGCGTGACGAGATGGGAAGGACTGAGAAAGGAAAAGGGCAGTACTGAATGAAAAAGTCGAGTCCAGATCTTTCTGGAAGAGGTTTGACTTGAGCTAGCCTTGAAATAGCAAATATGATTTGAATAGGGGGAAATTTTCGTGCATGTAGTGTGACAACTTCTACATGACTAAAACAGAGATTCTATATAAGAAATAAGCCTTTAAAAGTAGGTGGCATAAGTTTATAGCAAGCTTTGGATGCTAGAATGAAAAGTTTTAGCCTCTTCTGTTTAAACTATTTGCTTTTCAAAAGAAATAGACAGTTAGCTTTTACTGGATAAAACTCACAGTCTGCCCTGGGTTGTGGTTAAACTGTGTGGATGCTGGTATTCCAATAGACTGTAAGCATCATGCCTGATTCAACCCTTATCTTTTATTGGAGCATAACGTGCCTACATAGTAAGTACTTGATAAATGTCTGCTGAATGACCAAATGACTCCCAGGATGAATTAGTCAGCTCAAAGTCCAAACATGGTGGGGGGCCCTCCGGCTGGTAAGCCACCTAGCCTTTCATCAAAGAGATACATCTGGAAGTTTTACATTAGAATAATAATCCCACACGTCCGATTTCTGTGGAATGGGTGAGCCCCATTTCTAGCGCCTCTCCCCACCACAATCACAGCAGTCAGATAAAGTTGGAGTTTATTAGGGAAATATGAGAGGCAAATACACCCCAAGTGACAAAAAGAAAATTCTGAAAATGTCCCTTCAAGCGAAGTGGGGGCCTGGCCTTGACTTCCCCAAAAGGACAAGAAACTGGTGGGTTAGGAACAACATTCTCTGGTGGCCACCTTGCCAGGGCGTAAGTGTTTCAGCCAGGACTGCCTCCCATCCCCCACCAAAGGTGGGAAGGAGACACAAGACTGTTTATAGAATCAATGCAGAGGCAATGAGAACTGTAAGGAAAGTCAGAGAGAGAGAGAGAGAGAAAGGTGGGGAGGACCTTGACAAAGAGTCCCAGGCATTTGGCTCGGAGCGCCTCAAATACACTGACGAACAGTTCTACAAAATGTTACTTAAAAAGACAAAATGCCTAATGTTGGTTCCAAGAGCTCTCCTGGACGTCTTCCCACATGCCACATCACACACTGATGTACACGGCAGAGCCCAAAGGCCACGCTTTTGAAAAAAGAAAAACAAGAATAAGCCCTGTTGCTCTTTAAGGACAGAGGAAGGAGCTGAGGCTGCTGGGGACTTTCCCACGTTGGCCTGTATTCCGTAAAGCAACTTCCCAGCAGCAGCATGGTGTAGTTCTAGGTGAGGGTCTCACCTTTTGTCACCTGTCAAAGGAAACTGACAATTAGATAAATTCAAAAGTATTAAAAAAACCTTTTTATAGATCCTAGGTAGTAGGGAGTGGTACAAAAGACAATAGCTCTGGAGCCCCAGAAACCTGGTTCAAATCCAGGGAAGTTCATTAACTTCTAAGCCTGTTACTGCTTCCAGGTTTGTTTCAGCAACAAGTGGAAATGCTTATTCTCTCTGCACAGCCCTTGCCTAGCCTCAGTACCTTCCCTGACATACTCACCCGTGCTTCAATGTACTCTATTCTCCGTTCGAGGGCTGTCAATTTCTCGTTTAGTGTTGCAAGTCTTGAACGACAAGACATATCTGGTAAAAGGAGACCGATGTTCAGGATTAATGTCATTCCAAATACAAAAACACACACACAGCCCTTCCCTGATGAAGAGGAATGATACATCATGCAGAGCACAAGTGGGAGCAGGTGAGCAAAGCAAGGGAATGGAGAAGAGGTGAGAATTATATTAGGAGCACATATGCTTAGAATGGATCTGCTGAACTTCCTATCAACGGTGGTAGGCAGAGAATAATGACCCCCAAAGATGTCCATGCCCTAAATCCCTGAAGCTGTAAGTATGTATCCTACATGACAAAAGGGATTCTGCAGATGTGATTCAGGTTAAGGACCTTGAGATCCTGGATTATCTAATCACAAATCCATAACTGTAGGGAGAGATAGACCAAGGAAAGGTAGAGGAAGAAGAAGAAGAGATTCAAAGTGTGTGAGGGGAACTCAACCTGCTATGGCTGGCTTTGAAGATGGAGGAAGGAGGCCATGAGCCAAAAGATGCCAGAGACACTGAGAAGCTGGAAATAGCTCTCAGCTGACAGCCAGCAAGGAAACAGATTTGTCCTACAGCCACAAGAAACTGAATTCTGCCACCAACCCAATGAGCAAGGAAACAGATCCTCTCCTACAGTCTCCAGAAAGGAAGGCAGCCCTGCGGACACCTTGATTTTAGCCCAGTGAAGTGATGTTGGACTTCCAAACTATACAACTATAAAATAATAAACTTATGTGACAAAAGCGGCTACATTTATGGTAATTTGTTATGGCAGCCATAGAAAACTAACACACCCAAACTCTACAGACGGCTATTTGCTCATAGACAAACCAAGAGTTTCAAGAGAGGGGAAGTGACAAGAGGAAGAAAATAATCTCAACAGGGAAGAAAAACAGAGGCCATGAAAGCAGGAGGGGAGGGAAGGCGTCCCTGTTTCTGAGCTCACAGAAGCCTCATCATTGCTTTTGTTCTAGGAAGGTACTTCATGTGTTGTCAATATCTGCGCAGGCATGCCAGCATGAGAGAAAACTTGGGAGAACATCAAATACCCTGTGGAGCCCACATTCCATCTGTGGAAAACAGCAAAGTTTCTTTTCTTCCTTTTCCAACCTTCTTCACCATTCATCCAAAATGAAACCCAGATTTCCCCCAAAATACCTTTTCCTCTGCAAACTACTCTAAGAGAAACCACTTGACTACTCTTTCCCTAACCATTCTGAACAGGAGAAAAATGTTTCTGGGCATGCTCATGATTTCCTATTACTTCCTTCAACACCGTTGTTCGGTCATCCTCAATAACCTTCACTTTTTAAGTCTAAAATATCCTTTCTCTGAGACACTCTCCCACGCACAATGATTTAACACTTAGCTCACAATTTCCTTTTCATCTCTTCCCTGTTATGCAAAAGCATGTCCACATCCATTTTGACAAATCCTCTTGCCTCAACTTTCACTTCTCCACGTCTGCATCTTATTCATCTTGCCTTTCTAAACATTCTCCTTCAAGGCTCATTTCAAATTGGACCTCTGAGAGGTCTCCGCCAGAGGCATATAATTCTGCTCTACATTTATGGTTGAATTTCTAGTTTATAAATTACTTATGTGCTTGGTCTTAGGTTATCATTTCTCCCTCTGGATACAGATTTAACAAACAAGAATGTTCACCACTATTACTTAGGAATGGTTTCATAAAGTATGGTGTATTTATGAAAGACTATTAAAATGGCCATTAGAAATTACAAGTTTGCAGGGCGCCTGGGTGGCTCAGTTGCTAAGCATCTGCCTTCAGCTCGGGTCATGATCACAGGGTCCTGAGATCGAGCCCCACATCGAGCCCCACATCGGGCTCCCTGCTCCGTGGGAAGCCTGCTTCTCCCTCTCCCACTCCCCCTGCTTGTGTTCCCTCTCACACTGTGTCTCTGTCAAATAAATAAATAAAATCTTCAAAAAGAAAAAAAAAACAAAACAAAAAATAAGGCATCTTTTTAACAACTCATTAAAAAAACAAAATTACAAGTTTGAATATTTAACATAGGAAATGTTCCTGCTACCTAGACAAATGTATTTATGTATTTGTAATTTATCATTTTTTTTACATGTTTGTTACCCCACTAGAATGAGTTAATCAAAGCCCACTTCACTGGGCTAAAATCAACTAATCAAATACTGCCTCTTATTAATTTTTATAACAAGTATCTTGTCTGGCATAGAGATGTTTTTGAGAAAGAAATTATGGATTCTGGTATGTTAGTGAAACAAAAAATTGGCTCTAGTGTGACTCCACTAATTCTACAAGGGGAAGCCAAGGCTCATCTTGGATAACTGATGGGACAAAACAATAGCACAGCTGAGTTCGGAGCCCAGTTCCCTTCTGCTCAGGATGGTACTCTCCCACCACACACCCTGCTACCACCTTTATGAACCTCTGGAGTTGTAGTCTATTCCCCACAGGTCTTAAAATCTGCTTATAGCTCATCTCTTCCACTTTCTGGTTCCTTTTTTTCTTTTTGCCATACTAGATCCTTTCCCACCCATCCATCTTCACTGCTACTCTTATTTTTTAAAAATAGCTTTACTGATATATTAATTTACATACCATGAAGTTCACTTACTTGAAGTATACAATTCAATGGTGTTTAGAATAGAGTTGTGCAACCATCAACATAATCTAATTTTAGAACATCTTCAAAATCCCTACATGAAACTTTGTACCAATTAGCAGTCATTCCCCATTCAGCCTCATCCCAACCCCTGGCAACCATTAATCTATCTCTGTGGATTTACCTATTCTGGACATTCCTCATTTTTCTTTTAAATCGTGTTGTTTATCTCCTAGAGCTGCTTCTTCTAATTCCTAGATCTAGCTTGAGTAGAAGGAACTCAGTACCCTCTTTTTCCTAGATACACTTGCACCACTGCCAGGACTGCCCAACAGGACCACGTCTCTTTCGATCTGGTTTTTAGAAGCTCAAAGGCATATCACGTATGCTATTTAGTAAGAGCATGAATGTTAACACTAACAACCTGTCATTTCCCAGAAAAAGAGACATGCCAAAATTATCTGCAGGGGTGGAGTGGTAAAAGGGAGGGTTCCTTCCTGGATGGCTCTGTTCTAGCTCTGTCACTCTGGTAATGAATCAGAATCTAAGAACAACAGTACATTACTGGCCTAAATGGATAAGCACTGTTGAGAAATATAAGATGTTGAACTCCAGAAACTTTGATCATATTTCAGATCCCAAGAAATACATACTGATTCAAGCAAAACACTGGGAAAGCATTCAGCAGCTGAACAAATCTGAGACCAGAGTGCATTTAAGAGTATATTATCACCAGACTTTATTTTTTTTTTAAGATTTTACTTATTTATTTGAGAGAGAGAGTGCGAGCATGAGCAGGGGCCGGAAAGGAGAAGCAGGCTCCCCGCTGAGCAGGAAGCCCAAAGTGGGGCTCCATCCCGGAATCCCGGGGATCATGACCAGAGCCGAAGGCAGACGCTTAACCGACTGAGCCACCCAGGTGCCCCTATCACCAGACTTTAATGAAGATACTAATCGTCCTTGTCAGGGTGCTGGATGGTGTGTATCCATTACCACTGCTGACAAATGCCACTTATCAGCTCCTCTGAACCCTTAATGCACATAACCTTAGCCTACAAAAATCAACACTGTCATTCTCTTGAATTGTTGCCATTAAGGCTTACTTCTCTAACAGAATTCTAAATTTCTCAGGAGTGGCTACCATGTCCATTTATTCTTATTTATTCCTTTCTCAGAGGATGTGACACATAGCTGGGATCATGACAGACATGCTATACTTGTTGGCTAAGTATAAAAACTGACATTTAAAAATAACCACATTTATTATTTTTGTTACACTTTTCTGCACATATTAGTTTTAGAATCAGATAAAATGGTATAAAAATTAAAAGCTATTATATGTGACAATCTGTTTTTAGAAACTTCACCAATTCACGGTACAGAACAGGTCTAGTGTTAGGATGTTATCACTGCCTTATGATTTGTGGGGCCTCAGGTTCAGGTGGCCCATGAATATAATCACTCTCACCAGTTGGAAGGAATCTCAGGGTAAAAGCTGTTCAGAAAGTCACTAGCTATCTTGAAAAAACAGTTCCCTCTCCAAAGCACATGGCCTACACAGACTCTGTGCTCAGGGTAAGGACTGTAGGAATGCTGCCATTTTCTTTTCTTTTCTTTTTTTTTTAAAGATTTTAATTTATTTATTTGACAGAGAGACAGCCAGAGAGGGAACACAAGCAGGGGGAGTGGGAGAGGGAGAAGCAGGCTTCCTGCAGGACAGGGAGCCCAATGCGGGCTCGATCCTGGAACCCCGGGATCATGACCTGAGCCGAAGGCAGATGCTTAACTGACTGAGCCATCCGGGAGCCCTCAGGAGCTCTTTGAAAATGGCAGCAATCCTTGGGGCCATCCTTCTGGCTCTGTAAGACTGGAATTCTGTGTGACTATTTCCTCAGTCTAGGACATGTTGAAAATCTCAAAAAGAAAAGTCTTTATTCTCTATTTGATCATAAAATGTGACTCACACATTTGGTAAAATTTCAGTGCCGGTATTTCCTTGCTTATAAAACAAGAGAAGAGACATTTCTCCTCTGCAAATCCTAAGCTCAAACTCCAATTTTTGGTCAGTTCCAAGACTCACCTGCCATAAATCTAGTGGCTGTAATATGCCAAGATTTATGTCAAAGATAAATGTATGTGAATTAAAAGTTTCTTAATACAGGGGCGCCTGGGTGGTGCAAATCCTGATTTTGGCTCAGGTCATGATCTCAGGGTCATGAGGCAGAGCCCCACATAGGGCTCTGCACTCAGCAGAGTCTGCTTCAGACTATCTCTCCCTCTCCCTCTGCTCCGCCCCCACTCAGTCTTGCTCATTCTCTCTCAAATAAATAAACCTTAAAAAAAAAGTTTATTAATACAATTCAGTGCTCAGAAATGAAGTTAATTACATTACCCAGATCCAAATGTGGGGGATTGAGATGCCAGATCACTTTTAAATTTTGAAAAACAGCCCCAGCTTAACTTATTTTATTTTATTAAGATTTATTCATTTATTTGAGATACAGAGAGCACGCAGGAGTGGGAGGGGCAGAGGGAGAGAGAATTGCAAGCAGACTCGGCACTGAGCCAGGAGCCCAAATCAGGGCTCCATCTCACAACACTGAGATCACTACCAGAGCCGGAGCCAAAACCAAGAGTCAGAAGCTTAACCAAATGACCCACCCAGGTGCCCCTTAACTTGTTATTTTAGATGCTTTACTGATTTAACTGATGTTCTTAATACTTTACTTGGCTAGTCTGTGTGTATATATATCAGATCCCACCAGAAAGGTGAAGTCTTTTAATTCTGCTTTTTAAGGTTAAAACTCTCCATGTTGGTGATTTTTCCAACTACTTTCCACTGCCTCTCCTGACTAAGCCAAATCTCAAAGCTGTGATCTTCTCATCATTCTTCCTTTCCCTAGTATGCAGTATTTTGGTTTCTCTTCTCTGGCCCTTCTTCTGAAGGAATGTTATAAGTAAAGAATGCTGTGAACAACCTCCAATAATAGTTCAGCTCTCCAGAAAAGTAGGAGAAACCAATTATGAGAACATCAAAAAAGTTTGCACAGAACTTAGGAAAAGAAAAACTCTCTGAGGAAACCCAGACTATCTGAATAGCAGGGTAAATAGGGTCAGTATTTCCTAATGTTTTCAGTTCACTGAAATCAATTAATCTAGCCTCTGAACTTGAGGCTCCTGTCTCCAAATCCATCTCTTTTTCACTAAACCATACTCCTTCACTCAGAGTCAAACTATTTCAAGATACTATGAGATCTATGTTGACTACCATTCCCTATTACAACCTCTATACCAAGTTATGTGTGTGAATATGTATCAATGACATACATATTTATACTATTCTCTCATTAATACTACCCTCACCCTCATTCCCTGGTGAGAAAATCCATCATACTAAGATTATAGTCTTATACACTTTATAAGGAAATAGATTAATACAAAACCAATGTTCTGAAACTGTCATTATTTCATCTTCAAGATAGAAATTCCTTGAAAGCAGGAAATGATTCCTATTCTGTATCCTCCAGAGTGCCTGAGAGCCTTGTACTGAGATCTGGTCTCTCTTGCTGATGCTTTCTAAGAAAATTCATGTTCTGTTACCTTACTCCTCGGGATGCATCAGTCCTCCAGCCGGAAAATAATTCATTTTAAATCTTTTTTTAATACATCAGTTTCCCCTACTTAATCTTAATTGCTTGTTGCTGAATTAGTGGAACAAGAAGCACACTAGTTGGAAAAAGATCACTAGATGTCATCCTTACACCTTGTGATTGCTTAAGTAAGTCTATCCAGTGCCCAGTTCTGTTAAAGAAACACTTGGAGAACATGGGATGGGAGTCTTTGTTAAGGCTTGCTGTCCAGAAGGATACGGAACAAAGCAGAAAGAATTGAAGACTGTTATAAGCAGGCCATGCCTAGGAAAGATTTTGCTAGAAGCAGAAGTAACACGTACTGTCGGCTAGATACCAGCAATACAGGGCTCTCCATGTCCTTACATAAATCTGGACCTTACCTCTGACCTCATCTCCTACCACTCTCAGGGCAGCAAAAACGGGAGACAGGAATGGGCGACTAAAAGGTATGGCGCTAAAGAGATCCTGAAAATGATGAGGAACCGTCAAGAAACTTACACAAGGCAGCTACACGGCTGTGGTTGCATTCTGAAAGGCGCACTCTGAGTGCAAAGTGGGAACTGGAAGGGAAGCCGGTCACAAAGGAAGCAGGGAGGCTACCGAAGAGAAGAAAAGACTGTGGATGGAGCTGCCTGAAGAGTCTGGGAAAAGGAAGGACCTGTTAATGGATCTAGGGTGATGGCAATGAAGCCGATGAGCTCAGCCTGGCGCAGGAGAACGCCACAGGGACTGACCAGTGGAGTCTGAGGGTCAGGGCGAGACGGGGAAGGTGGGGTCCGGAGGACGCGAAAACCAGCTAGGGCCGAGGGCTCCCGGAGAAAGCCCTTTCAAAGCTTCTCAGCGCCCTCGCCAAACTGCCTGAGTGGCCTCCTACCCACCCCCACCTCCCCCTGCTCGCCCGCTGACCAAACGAGTTGAGAAAGTCCGCGATTTTCTTGATGCTGCTGGTGATGACTTCTATGTATTCCCGGTTCGCCCAGTCCTGGTGAATCTCCCGCTGCACCGGATCCTCTTGACCCGCCATTGCTGCCACCTGACGAGGAGCCACCGCGCAGGCGCCCCGACCCTCCAGCCGGCCAGTGCGCCTGCGCCGCCAGCCCACACCCATTCCTTGGCACCCACGAATCCATGGGCACTGTGATGCGCCTGCGCGATGTCAAGTCCTTTCGCTCTGCTCCCACGCCCCTGAAAAAAGTCGTAAAAACCCCGACGGTGAAAATGGAGTGCGCATGCGCCGAAGCACTCCTGCCCACCACATAGCCCATCGCAGGCGGTTTTGGTCGTTAGGGGGCGCTTGACCACGAGACGCTCGCTGCGTCTGCTGCTCCAAACTAAGGTTGTGGTCTGTGTCAGCAATTAGTTGGGCGTAGTCAATGAAGCCACATTAAATACAACTCATTTTGAAAATGGCTTTCAACAGCACAACATGATTCCCCACCTTGCAGTCATCAAACAAACAAAACGTTAGTATTATTATTTTAAAGATTTTATTTGACAGAGAGAGAGACAGCGAGAGAGGGAACACAGGCAGGAGGTAGTGGGAGAGGGAGGGGCAGGCTTCCAGCCAAGCAGAGAGCCTTATGCGGGGCTCGATCCCAGGACCCTGGGATCATGACCCGAGCCGAAGGCACTTAACGACTGAGCCACCCGGGCACCCCTATTATTATTATTTTTTTTAATAATAATACCCAGTGATGGAGAGGCTGAGAGAAAATTGATAGGCCCCTAAATAGCTGGTCACACTGTAAACTGGCACAACTCCTTTAGGAAAGTTGTAAGTTGATAGCAAGAACTGTCAAAAAATTCAAACTTTGACCTAATCATTTCATTGAGAAAATCGTTGAAAAAGAAAAAAAAAGACACTTTAAGCACAAAGGTGCTCTTTGTAACATTATCTATTTTAAAAACCAAAACAACTATATCTCCATAGTTGGGGATGGCTAAACAATGGTACAGCCTCCTACGGCAATATCATGCAGTTATTTAAATAGTAATTATGAACACTATGGCAACATACATGATAAACTGAAGGGGAAAACAAAATACAAAATTTTCTTCAATTGCAGGCCATGAAAATTATGTCTGCTTGAGGACAAAAAAGATATATGAAAGATGCCAATGTCTGGTTTGTTAAGGTAGTGGAATTATGGACAATTTTATTTTTGTTTAAGAGAATTTTTACAATCTGCTTTGTGCAATACATGCCTTTTATTAAAAAAAAAAAAAACGTTCAACAGATTGCTTCTAGCAGTAGCTGGGAAGAAATCTTTACTAACAGTCCTTTACTCTGGTATGAGATTTTACAAGCTATAAAGCTGCTTTCATAGCTATTACCTCACTGAACCCTCACAAACCCTGTGAAAGGAAATCAAGAAGAGGCTTCTCATTTTACAGATGAGAAAACTGAAGTTCAAGGTCACACAGTCAATTAAGTGGTGGACCTTCACCAGTTGATTCCAGACTCCAATATCTTTTTACTGTACCAATCTAAAAACAGGCTAAGGCCTCTGAACTCTCCTATGTATTCATAGAAATGGTTACTAAAATAATAAATATCAACCCTAAATATCAAACCCCAGATATCCAGAGAACTAACTGCCATTCAAGATCCTGCTTCCTAAGTGATGCTGTTGTAGTATCTTGCTCACACGTCACAGAGAAATCAGATAGATCTACTTTTCCTTTAAAGGCAGGGCATCTCAGTTTCAAATCACAAATCTATCAGTGAGGAGTCACTTCACCCCTCTGAACCTTTTTTCTTCATGTGTAATACAGGAACAACAACATGGATGGATTAGGATTGTTGGAATTCTGTGAGAAAGAATAAATAGAACACTAAGCACAGTACCTCACTCTTCACAAAGCAGGCACTCATGATCAGTTTACATTTTTTTATGCAGAAAGCAGAAAATTAAGTATACATATCTATCCAACATTTTGTTTTTTATGATTAATGGCCTTCCATGAGATAAGTCAGGCTCAGCTCTTCTCCTTTTGCTGGACTTCCTATACACCTGTTCTAGGATCTCCCCTGTAATTCCAAACAAGTCAAGGATATGGTGCTGTCCTTGAGTGAAGAATATTCCTCTGGACTTCTGGCACTTTTTCCTACATGCCTCAGGGAGCTTGCTGTCAGGCAGTCCTTCAGTATGGGTTTGTCAGCGTGGTAGTTCTTCACTGCAGAAACTGTTTACAATGGGTACAGAGGCAAGCCCTTTGGGAACACTGCTGGTGCAACAAGGAGAGCTTCTGGGTGGTAGATTGCCTCAGCGTAAAAGAACAAGTTCCCTGACTTTAGGTCTGTCATGTGCTTCACAGAACTTGAGGAATCTTGTCAATGACTCCACATGTAATAATCAGTGTGGAACAAATTCTTGAAGAAATGTGTCAATTGCATTAAGCATGGTCATGTGAATCTTTTTTGCAATCATGTGCACTTAGACCATCATTTACGTAGCTAAGGATATAGCATGTGCACCATGGCAATGTTGTTAGCTGCTTTGAAAAGAACTGAATCATCTTTTGGCAGAGCAAATGTGGCTAGTGTCATGATAATCCCTGAGGACAGTGCACACAGAATGTTGAGAGCTGCATGATACAGACAAAGTTGATGTTGTAGGTCATCAGTAACAGGTAGTACGGGAGATTCTGGTTTTCCATATCTGTGTGGTAGCCATGGAACTAGAGTATCAGAGCCAGAGGTAATAGCAAATGGTACCTCCAAAAATAGATCCCTGAGAGCTGGCCGACTGCACAGAGGACTGTGGTACAGATTGTCATAACAGCATGAAGCCCTCTCTATACAACAACTTTTAATTATACAATTTTGCTTTTGGGACTTTCATTAAAAAAACCCCAACTGTGCAATAAAAACTGTTTTGTTTGCTTTTTAAATAAGTGTCTCTTTTATTTGAGATGAAAATAAAAATAAACTTACTGGAAAACAAAGTTTTGCAATTCAAATCATTTGTGTCTTCCAAGACTCATCACTCTGCCCCCTCTCCATTTTCTGACTTCACTTCCAAACTCTCCACTTCTCCTTCCACAGGGTGCAACACACACACACACACACACCCCATCTGACAATTCTCGACAAGTCCCTCAAAACCATCTGGTCTTCCAAATCAGGATCTTTAGCCTGAGTCAGCCCCCACCGCCCCCACCTCTCCCGTTCAGCTTCACCCAACGAACCAGACAAAAGGTGATAGCTCTTATGCGTGCTGTGCTCTACAGTTGGCAAAGTGCAAGGGCAATTTCTGGGTGTACAAGGTAAGGGGAGGTGGGGCCATTAGTTAATTCTTGCCACAAATACTTCACACTGCCGGGCTGCGGGATAGCCAGGCAGAGGGTAGATACAGTGAGTCAGTTGGGTAGACCTCTCTTCCCCCAGCCTGCCAAGGAAATTGTTTGCAGTGACGCTTACGAAGTTCTCAAAACACTCTCACTATGGTGAAACGGTCAGTTTTTCAGCTTTGTTAGAAGAGGACAGCATTGTCTTTTTTGAAGTTTAATAGACAGAAAAAAATTTTTGGTTAGTTAGTCAAGGGAAGACATGTGCCTTTCTTCTTGCTCTAGAGAAGCGAGCATTTTTAAGTTGTCTCCTTGCGCTGGGATCATTCCAATGCAGCAATAAAAGCTTTGAGCCTAAATACCCACTGAGTACAGTTTAGAGTCAAGACTAACTAAACACTAACTACAAGCTCGGGGACTTTCCTGTAGGTTCCTCACTACACCCTTCGAGGTGGGCGTGTCCGCCCGCCCTGACTAGCTCAAAACACACAGGTGTGGCGGGGTAGGGAGGAGGAGGCGGCGGAACGAAGAGGACTGGATTCGAACCCCACACTCCTGAAGGCGGAGTCCTGGACTGGGCGTTCCAAGGAGGTGGAGGTGGGGAATCCGGCCCTGAAGCCTGCCAGCCGGGCGCCTCGAGCCCCCACCTCCGCGGTGGCTCGGGCTCCCGCGGCGGCCCTGGGTCACAAAGGCGGTTGCCAGGCGCCGGTGGAGAAAAGATGCGGCCCGGAAACAGCAGCCGCCACTCTGGAGCTTGCGGCCCGCGGAGTTCAGCAGGTGAGCCCCCGGCCCGGATGGTGGGACCGGGCCCGGGCTCCCACCGCCACCTCCGCCTCGGCCAGAGCCGTCTGGCCCCCACCCCCGGTTAGGGACCCCCGTGGGACAAGCCCCTTCTTCTCGCTGCGAGGGAGAGCCCACTCCGGGCAGCTCCAGCCTCTCTGGATCAGGATCGCAATTCACAGTTTACGAGGACCTCAGCTGCATTTGGACGCTTACTTCCCCTTTCCCAGGTGGGAAATCAAGGGACTCGGTTTCTTGGAACGGGAGTGTGAGAGGGAAGACTTTTTGGCCAGGAGTACGAGGTGTTCCTTATCTGGGAGCTATTAAAGCAGCTTGAACAGACTTCCAAGGTTCAAACCCCCTTGGAGTGGATGACAGTGATTTCTGGGTGGTGGGAGTGGAGGGGTGAATCGTCTTGATTTAAAACTTGGTGGAAGTGGCTTAAAGATCTGGGATCAGAAGCCCTCTCTCATCCCCACGTTGGTTCTGTCCAGTACTTAAGGCGGGACATTTGATAAAAAGCCTTTTACGTCTGGCCCTATTTGCTCTTAGGAGGGGAGCCAGGAAAAGAATCCTGGGATTAAATAATCTTTTTGGTCATATACTGAGGAGTTAACACCCTCCACACCCCACCTTGCCATCGTGCTGTACCAGAGCAGCCCTGATCTTGGATGTATTCTCTCAGGGTGATGATATCAAGCATCAGAAGACTTTCATAGGCTGTTTGTAATAGATAACCAACCCCTCGGTGTCAATTTTTCATCCTAAAGCAGTCCAGATATTTGAACACAGTATGTGAAGGAGTGTACAAAGATAAGGAGAGACATAACAGTTGAAGGAAAACAACAAATCTCCTTTACGCTGACCACAGTCAGGGACAGGTCTTCTGGTCTGAAATGTCATCAACTCTTTTTAAAATGAACTTTACTGTCTTACAAACTATGGTGGAGGAGTCAACTTTTCACAGCATTTCCTGGGCAATTACTGGATGGGATGGGATCAGATCTACTGCTGTTACCTTTTGTGGGAGAAGAGAAAAGGGGCAGAGAAATATACTTGGCTGGAAAGAAAAGGGAACTGCTAATGCTATGCCCCTTACCATAATAGGTAGGTGCTCAAGAAATGTTAGCTTCTTCTGAATTCAGTAAAACCTTTTATATATTGGCAATTTTAAAGTAGAATGATGGAAAATCCAAATTCTACTTAAATATTTAGTTAGCAACATCTTCCCAGCCCTTTGCTTTTTCTTCAAAGGGGCGGGGGCGGGGGGGGGAAGAATCAAGATCTTAACCACTAGGTCTCCCATAACAAACCAAAAACAAAACAAAACACACATAGAAGAATTACCTTTAACCATTTTTAAGACTGTCCTTTGGAAACTTTTTTTCTTTCTAGCCTGGTGTAATTCTTCTGAGGTGGTACATAAGTAGCTCAGGGCTCTGAGAGAGCTATTTCCCGTCAGAAAACAGGTTTTTAGGGCCAAGAGGAGATTGTCTCCATAATTAATACTGAAAACCTTAAGTTCCTTAAAAGGGATGGCATAAGAAGTTCTCAGACTGTGAGTACATCAGAATCCCCTGGAGGGTTTGTTTAAATGCAGATTGCAAGCCCTACCCCCAGTTTCTGATTCTGTAGGTGTGAGGTAGGGCCCAATGTGCATTTCTACATTTCCAGATGATGCTGAAGCTGCTAGTGCCAGGATCACACTTTGAGAACCACTGGTATAAAGTACCGGGAATTAGAGTCACAAATATTTAGTAAGACATGGCTTTTCTGAGCTTCCAACCATAAATAATGTCTCATCATGAAGTGCCAGCAGCCTCTGTCACCTCAGAGGTGTAGATTCTGTCTTTAGCAGTACACAATACAGTATATGTCCTAATAGTGAACTGGGATACTCCACTTTGGACAAATCCATTTCCTCACCTGTAAAATAGATTAAAACCTACCTTCAGAGGCTTGTGATAAGATTTAATAAAGTTTTAGTACACATAGCAGTTGCCAGATTCAATACTTGCTACCATCCACTACTGCCCTTTATAGAATTACTAGTATCCTTAACATCTATTGGAATCTGTTAAGGAGAACTACAGAGTAAGTTAAAGCCAATAATGAAACAAATAAATGTGAATTTAAACGGCCGTGCCCTCCCCCAAACCATGCTAGGGAAATTCCATGTTCTGATTCCTCTTCTTTAGGACTGTCAATGGCAGGATACCAGCTCTGGTCACCATGGACCCCACTGGACGAGAGCTTCCAATGGCTGCGGCACACAACACCTACACCTTCTTCAAAGCATCCCTTTAGGGCTTCCCCCCGCTTCCCACATACCCCTTCTGACCTTGAAGTGCAGCTGTGCTTTCAAGAGGTCACTCTAGTCCTAGATAGCCCATTTCTGGAGCCTGGGGTGAGTCCCAGGTTACCCTGCCACACATCAGAGCTCCGAACCATGAACAACAAGAAAGGGCTGGTCAGGAAGCCCCAGCCTGTCCGCCTCAGTGGAGTGGATTCCGTGTTTGGCAGGGTCATCACAGCTCAGCCACCAAAATGGACTGGGACCTTCAGAGTTTCAGACAAATCAGCCTTTTGCAAAATCATCAGCCGGGAGAACCAGTGGCCCACTGGACTTAAGGAACCTCAGATTCAGATGACAGTGACCATGTGCAAACAGATGCTGCGCTCTATCCTCTTACTGTATGCAACATACAAGAAGTGCACCTTTGCCTTGCAACACTCCAAGTAAAGGGTTCCCATCTGATTCCTGTTCCTAATACCATGTCCTGTGCTATGTGCCTGAAGCTTACAGAAACCTGTCCATGTAAAAGAAACTGACATCATCTGAGCCATCTTGCTTTTCTGTCAAGCAGTGACAATTCAGGAACCCCTTTCCTCCTCCCCCCCACCAAAGGCCAGTGACAGAGCAAAGGAGAACATTTCCATTGTAAAGTTGAACATTTAAAAGAGAGTCAAACTAGTGTTGACATGTACATGTGAGAAAGAACCATTAAACCATATAAACCAATGAGCCTTGTGTGAACTCACTTAAACATCTAAGACCACAATGAGATGGGGAAACAAAGGGGTATCAAGGAAGGAGATTATGACTTTCCAAGTACATGAGGATGAAGGGGTCAAAAATCTATAGATGGGTCAAGGATTAAAAAAAATAATAAAAAACAAAACAAATAATCTCCCCCACCAAATCAACAACAAAAAAACCTTAACCAACCACATCCTAATACCAATGGAGAGGGCAAAAGTGGATAGTAATATTAGCAAATATTAAAGAATATTTGTAGCCTGGCAAGAAAGAACTTGGAAGCAGCAATGAAACTGGGCTTTCTGGCAGAACACATGAGAGCTCCCCATTTTAGCTGGTGTACTGTTAGTAATTCTGCAGAATTGTTATAATAAGTCTATAGGTATAACTCAGAATAATGTGAAATAAACATATATACAAAGTCAACATGAGTTTGATGGTGACTTTTCCCTTTTTATCTTATATCTACATGACCAAAAAATTTTTAAAAAGTAGCCAGAATTTTCCTTTTGGACTTTCTTTGGGCATTGACCAGAAATTCTTTACTCCTCAAAAAATATCACAAAGATCTTCTCATCTCAAATAAAGATGATCTTTAGGATAGGAAACATGGTTTTTATTGGTAGAACTGATGTGTTGGCACCAGTTTCCATTATTTCTCTGCACAAACCCCAACTGAATTCCATGTAACCCTTGATTTACGAAGGAAATTCAGAAAGAGGAATGAGGTAGTTGAGGCAGAACTTAAAACAATTTATTTGTAAAACTGGTACAATCCTAAATTTCTAAGTTTCAAAACTAGCTTTCAAAGCCCAGAATCATTGACTATTCCACAGCAAAGCACTGCCATGTTTGCCCAGACTGGCAAGTAACGCTACAGTGGAATCCTGAGCCAGGATCTTTGATGATGTTAGATGACCTGTGAAATTGACAATTAAGGTGATTCAGTAAAGCCCACCCTCCTAATGACAAAACAGGATGCTTCCGGTAAGGAAGGTTAAGACTGCAGATTCCAAACCCTGAACACAAAATGTGAAGAGGCTAGCAGAGATGGAGAAGGGGCATCCGTCTCTCTGTGATCTAATCGGAGTTATCATCACTCTCATCACTATCTTGCTCCGTTTCTCCATCACTTACTTCAACTTCTTCACCATCCTAAGGGGCAAAGGATAATTAGATATTTTAGGTCATGTAGGTGACCCCATGAATTACAGTACTGCTCCCATAGGATTTATAACTGTACTGTATCATTGTTAAAATCAGTGATAGGTGTTAAGCCATTCATTTGAAAAAGGAATTGAAGCTCCCCCATTTTTCTTGTATCATGAGCATGGAGGTAGGCCACTGTGATACTGACCTATGACATTCCACAACTGAACCAAATTCACATGACTTTTAAATAAGCCATGGTTTTCTACCTCTACTGCATGTGTGTGACACAGAATAAAGCAGGCACTCAATACAGAATGAAATGTTTGCTAAATTAAGAATTCTGGTGTATCTCCAATAGCCAAACTGTGGAAAGAGCCAAGATGTCCATCGACAGATGAATGGATAAAGAAGATGTGGTATATATACACAATGGAATATTATGTAGCCATAAAAAGGAATGAGATCTTGCCATTTGCAACGACGTGGATGGAACTGGAGGGTGTTATGCTTAGTGAAATAAGTCAATCAGAGAAAGACATGTATCATATGACCTCACTGATATGAGGAATTCTTAATCTCAGGAAACAAACTGAGTGTTGCTGGAGTGGTTGGGGGTGGGAGGGATGGGGTGGCTGGGTGATAGACAGTGGGTAGGGTATGTGCTATGGTGAGCGCTGTGAATTGTGCAAGACTGTTGAATCACAGATCTGTACTTCTGAAACAAATAATGCAACATCTGTTAAGAAAAAAGAAAAAGAAGAAGATAGCAGGAGGGGAAGAATGAAGGGGAGTAAGTCAGAGGGGGAGACGAATCATGAGAGACAATGGACTCTGAAAAACAAACAGGGTTCTAGAGGGGAGGAGGGTGGGGGGATGGGTTAGCCTGGTGATGGGTATTAAAGAGGGCACATTCTGCGTAGAGCACTGGGTGTTATGCACAAACGATGAATCATGGAACACTATATCAAAAACTAATGATGTAATGTATGGTGATAAAAAATGGAAAAAAAAACAAGTAAAAAAAAAGAATTCTAGTGTATCTCAATAGGAATTCAGCATAAAATTCTTTGGTCTGTAACTCTAATCTGGGAGGTTTGCTTAGGAGAAAGTACCAAACTAATACCTATCTCAACAGGAATTCAGCATAAAATTCTTTGGTCTGTAACTCTGATCTGGGAGGTTTGCTTAGGAGAAAGTACCAAAGTATCGTCTGCTTCAAAATTTTTTTATGAGAACAAGGTAGAGGTATACTATACAAATCATAAAAGTATTTTTCATGCTAAATGATCTTTCTGCATTAGCCTCAGATTGCATTATAGAGAGGCTTCACAGCAGGGGTTCTTAAATCTGAGCTTCTTGGTATCTAAAACCCACCTGAATTTTAACAAAATTTTATAAACATACACATTTTTCTTCAGCTTTCTTTAAAGTCCTAAAAGTGGCCCAGAAAAGAATAAGGACCCCTACTCTTACTATAGTCCTCAGTGATTGCAGCTTTTGATTCTGTGCTTTAGCTTTCATCTAATGCGTTCATATTTCTATTTTATATATTCAAACATATTTAAATGTTTTAACTCATTTTTCTCAGCACTCAGAGGACACTTGACCTTTTCTCCCCTCTAAAATGGTTTCAGATACAAATTTAATCCCAATAATGAAAAGGAATTTTTAACTCTATAACATATGCCACAACTTGAGATACTCTTCTGGCCCCCACAGAACTCATATAAAAATAAAAACTTTTCTGGAGAGAATGGAGATGGGCATAGAGATCTTTGATTATAAACATAAGCAAGGAGGGGGTGCCTAGCTGGCTCAGTTGGAAGAGCACGCAACTCTTGATCTTGGGGTCGTGAGTTCAAGCCCCAGATTGGATATAGAGATAACTAAAATAAAGAAACTTAAAAAAACAACAACCCATAAGCAATAAAAGTTCTATACTTTCTACTGACTCAGAATAATTAACAAAATACAACAATCAACTGCACACTTGGGCCTTATGCAGAGATACCTCCGTTGCTTTGCTCTTGGAAACCTGGGATGCTGTATCATCCTCACTCTCCTCGGAGTTCTGGGACTTAATCTCTTCACCCTAAATGTGAATGCGCCAAGACAAACGGTGGGTTATAATTATCATATTTGGGGTTTCAAAGGGAGAAAAGCTGTTTAAAGGCAATAGAAAAGATAATATTCTAGGCATTCAAACATGGTCAGACACAGACATCAACCTGTGATCTAGTATCTAGAGAAGTGATAATCAATCCAAGGTTTCTGAGATATGTGTGGCTCTAATATAATATGTAGTTTTACAAAAAGCCCATTGCTGTATTCTAATATCATACTACATTTTACAAGGCCAGGATGTATCGGTAAATATTGTTCTGAAAATGTTGAATATTGTTCTGAAATTTCCCCAAGACCTTAAAGTGTATGACCACAGACATACCAACTACAAATGGCCATGTTGAGGCTGAAAGACTTTATACAAAGTGGTTTAAGAACATCAGCTTTGCATCCTTTCTCTTTGGACTCAAACCCTGGCACCTCTCACTTATTGCTGAATGACTTTAGGTAAGTTACTTAACCTCTCCAAGCTTCACTTTTCTCATGGAAACAATAGTGTTGTTTTATTATAGTATTTTGTTTAATAGTATCATGGAAATAATAGTACCTCATAGAGCAAATGTGAAGAAAGAAAACAAGGTCTCCAGGGTGCTATTCTTTTCATATATAAGATTATAAACCCCTGAGCTATTGTAAACATGAATGAGAAGGACTTGGATCCTATATGAAAATTGCTAAAACTCCAAAGCAGTAATATAAGCCATACAAGATTTCAGCCAGACAGTTCAAAGACCTTAGAAATGTTTATTTGTTAAAATTAGGCAGAGAACAATAAAAAATCTAAAAAAAAATTACAAGGCTAAAAAAAAAAATAGGCAGAGAATAATTTCAGGAATAAGACAGAGTGGTTTAGAAAAAGACCCAAAATAATTTAAAAAGTTTGTCCACATAAACGAATGTTATTATGAATCTACCCCCAGTAGTACTTACAGGAGGCCACTCTGGCTTAGGAGAGAGATTTTATTGATCTGGCTCTTCTATCTCTGCAGCCTTGTTGTTATCAGTGGTATGTTTTGGTGCCTTTGCTGGCTAGGATGAGGGGTGGAACCCATGACTAAGACCAGAAGCAATGTGTCCTAACTTTAAGAGGTAAATGGCCACAGCCTTAAGAGAAAGGCAGTCTTATAGAGAGAACAAGGCTTAGTTGACCTCCTTGACATACCTTCTAATGCTCTTACAAAGAGTGGGAGTAGATTATCTTGGGCTGGGCCCTAGGCTTACCTGCAAGTCCCGGTTTTTGAGGTTGCCCAGCCAGAAAGCCTCCCTGCAATTATTGAAGATAAGCATGGCTTTCACTCTGCAAACTAAAAGCTCCAGGGTCTTTTTGAGCAAAGGCACATGTTTGGTGAGTCTTGTGTCCTGGTGAATCTAAATGGAAACAAAAGCACCCAACTCATCTGGATTTATCATGCTTTCACATTCCTATACAGAAACTTTTGAATTTCTGACATCTTGAACACTGAATAAGAGCATTAAGTCCTCCCAGTATAGGTCAGAGACATGTTCCATTAAACAGTAATTTGGCAGAGTACTCTGAAGAGAATGGCAGCTCCCCTTCAAGGTAAAAGAGCCTAGAAGACATACCACCAACACCTTAGGTTCTTCTTCATAACCTCTTATTGACCAATTATCAATGAATTTACCTAAAATGTTCTTGAACATGTATTATACTGATATTAAACAACAGAGTATCCCTATTTAGCTAGGTG